TTATGATACTATAATCTATTAAAGAATACTATACTAAAGAATACAGAAAGGATACTTACTGAATGCTAAAAAGATAATAATGATAACTCGTGACTCTTTCCAGAGCCCCAACACAGCTTGGCCCTGATTGGGCAAAGAGTGAAAACAACTCACAGCAGAATGCAATGAAACAATCACCTGTGGGTAAACAATCTCCAAACACATTCCACATGAGCACAACACAGGAGAAGCAAATGAGATAAGAATTGTTTTCCTTTTCTCTGAGGCTTCTCAGCTTCCCAGGAGAAAAATCCTGGGTGAAGGGATTTTTTCAGAGAATGTGAATGCCACAGAGCATTGCTGCACCTCTAGGACTCCACAAGCTGGGAGAGCTCCAATGGTTACCCAAGAGAATAAAGAGCAGGAATCCTTTCTTCAGGACACCTTGCACACCTCTCCTACAGCGAGGCTTCAGTCTCAGGCACTGAAATAGCTCAGGGATTTTGCCAGCAGAGCAGTGATCTGTCTCTGCCCAAGGAGAAGGGCTTAGGCTGCAATTCTCCTGCCCAGGGAGCTTCTCAGGAAATTATTTCTCACTCGGGAGGTTCAATGCTTTCTGCAGCTCCGGGCTGGCCGAGCAGGGCTGCGGCAGGGACAGGTCGGGGGGAAACTGAAATAAGAACTTGATTTGTTTATTCACGAGTGCTTTCCATCCTTGGCCAGGAGCTTCAACACACTGCAGGCAAAAGCAGTTTGCAGCAGACAGACAAGATGATGGAAACCACAGGCTCGGGGGAAGGCCAGGATCCATTCCCAGCAGCGCAGGCTCCAGCCCTGCCCAGCGTCAGCTGAAGTGCTGCTGGCCCAGCATTCGCACTGGCTCTGAAGACCTGCAAGTTCCAGCAAAATCACAAACCTGGCATCCATCCAAAAGGTACCTGGGGCAATATCCCTGAGCCAGCCACTGGGATATACCCTGCCCTTAAACAGCCTTATTTATCACTTCAGTGCTGAGCTGCACAATTCCAGTTAGGAAATACAAGCACGGCTGAAGGGCAGAATACCTATCCTAAGAGGAATTTTTTTAGTTTAAATTATTTTTTATTTAGGCTGACATATAATAAAACCACCTACTTCACCCACTTCTTCAGAAAGCAATGGCATTTAAGGGGGAATGAGTTCAGCTGCTAAGAAGGCCTCTCCACAAAGAATGCTAAATACATTTTCTTAGGCAAAAAACCAAGCAGAAATTCCTCCCAGGCAGAAAATGCTCCACTGCTCTGTTTCCAGCCTTTTTTCCCTGCAGAAAGGCAGTAAGCCAGCCTCACATTAACAGAACTTCAGCAATTATCCCATTTCAGGAAGCTCAGCTGTCACTAAAGCAAAGGTTAATTGTCCCACATTTATTTGCCAGACTTCAAGAGATGAGTTCTACAACATTAGGGTGGATTTTTCATCTCTTTAATGCAATTTTTACATCTCTGGGAAAAAGTCCGAGTGCCAAAGGCAAATATTATCTAAGTCTTCTAATGGAAAGCTTCTAATGGAAAGCTGAAAGTCACTTTCTGCAACTGCTGGAGAGTCAGAGAGGGTCTTGGAACAAAGTAACTGAAAAGCAAAAATGCCTTCAAGCTATAATGGACTTTAATGAAGTGAAAGAAAGGCACATCAGACTGCAGAGAGCCAGGTGTCCATCTGGCTGACCTGGAAGGGTCCCCTGCAACCTTGTGCACTCACTGAATACATGTCCTGAAAAGCCTGTGGTGGATCCCATACATCTAAAAGCCACTCTCAGCTAAAATTACACTCTTTCAGAACAGGAAACACTGAGAGTAATAAAGACAACTAAAACTGTACTAATCCATACAGGATGTGCAAAGATTGGCTCAAGGAATTTCAGGCAACTAAGGTTAATTCAGAATTATTGTTTATGTATTCCAATACTCAACATGATTAACTGACTCCTCCCATAAGTAAAATAAAAGCTGCCAAGCCAAGCAGATGTGAATGAACCATAACAGCAATTATTTCTTCTTGTTATTATCTGTTCTTTTCCTGGATCTCCATGACTGTGTGCAAACAATTCCTCATGTTTCTGTAAGCTGAGCATTCCTGCTAGAACCAGGGAGAGACTAAGCTTCTTCCAGGCTCACTCTTCTAGAGCTATTTATTACACTAACAAGTCACAGCACCAACTTTATCTAGTAACATCTGACGTGGATAAATTAGCAGGCAGGGAGGGCAGGCTTTTAAGGATGCACCCTCATTAAAAATAAACTAAAAACCCAAACCATTCCCAAAACACAGCTCAACAGAAGCCCAAGGGAGAGATGGTCCTAGGTGTATTCTGTGGCTATGCCAAAATTCACTCTGTGTGGGCCCCACTGAGATGAGAAGTGTTCAGGGAACAGGTCCTGTCTCAGAGAACTTATGGTCAGGAGAAAAAAAGGGATAGCACAAGTCTGGAGAACATAATTTCATTGCTTGCCAGATTCAGAAAGAACACGGCCAGGTTTACTATGGATTTTATATTTTGCAGTTTGCCTTCTATGGCTGCTGCTTGTAAAACCATAAGTTCACACCTGAACACTTCCCTGCAGGAGGTAAAGGAGAAAATGGGAGCAAGTAAACCCATCAAAAGAGGGCAGATCCTCAGGTTCACTCCCCGTGTGTGGCTGCTGTACCATACCCACAGGAAGCACCAACGCTGTGCAAACAGAGGATTTGCTGTCCCTGCAAACCCTGTGAGAAAATGGGAGCAAGTAAACCCATCAAAAGAGGGCAGATCCTCAGGTTCACTCCCCGTGTGTGGCTGCTGTACCATACCCACAGGAAGCACCAACGCTGTGCAAACAGGACAGGGCTGCCACCGCGCCCTGCCCACCCTGGCCTGGGGCTGCAGGGACAGCAGCAGCTTTGCTGCCAGCATGGATGGGGAGGGGAGAGAGCTGACTCTACTGAAACCAGGAAGCAGACAGACCCTTGAGCAAGTGTCAGCTCCTGTGCACGTTTTGGGGAAAATCTGAGAAAATAAAACTCAACTCTACAAACCTACATATTCACACTAGGTTTACTAAGCATCATCCAGTGCGCACAAGCAGAACCCATCTTCACTTTCCCTTCTCTGAAAATCACCAGCTTTACATTGTTTATATTTTATATAACTAAAATAAGAACTGCTGGACAACCCAATATTAGTCCCAAAAGGACATTTGAGACTGGCTCTGGCAGTCCCTGCACACGCTCCTGATTCACATGGACTGTGGAGCCAGTTCTACCAAGCACCTGTCATTAAACACATGTCCAGCCTGTAATTAAACACATGTCCAGTCTGTCTGCCCTCCCCACACCCACTGCTGGCTCTGCAACCAGCTGCAACACTGCATGGATGACTTCAACTGGGATTCAGATTATCCAGGGTGTGCAGAGACTGACCCCTCTGCAGCCTGTCATGGCTGTTGGTCAGAGTCACCTTCACCTTCCAGATGCAGAGATATTACTGGGGATACACTCACAACAGATCTGTGCTCAAAGCCTGGCTCTTCCAATATTTGATACCACACTATGTATCACACACACTAACAAAACTAAACTCTCTTACACAGCTGCAGGACAGAACTCAGTCTTCCTGTCTTTGACATCATTCTTTCCCTTCTCCATCTCCTCTGCTGGGACACAAATGGTGACAAACTAGGTGGCAAACTTCCAGTAACCCATTCCTAGTACAATTGTGGCATTTTGGCATTGTCATCAGGTAGTCTATTCCAAATAATGAAAATAACAACAGGAATCAGATGTGGAGAACTCATCCATGACAACAATGATTTCTCACCAAGTCCTGCCATCTTCTAAAAATTACTGGAGGTTCCTTTCTGTACAGGAAAGAAGTTTGTGTCACATCTGACATAAGAAAACTGAACCACCAGAAAGACTGACCAAGAGGAGAGATTCTTTCAAGTCCTTTCAGACTGTGTACAGCCACGTGCAACAAGACTACTGCAAATTCCTTGAATGCCCTCATTATGGAGTATCACTAGATTAGAACAGAATAAATGATGTTGCTTCTATTTCCCTCATATTTCAGTTGTTCTCTCTCTGGCATCTTTCTACAGTTCAAGACTTGTACAATACAAGAAGTATTTTGGAACATCCTCTTCTGCACCAGTGTAAAAGACAGACATGTCCAGAAGACACAGCATCCCAAACAACAGTGCAGATGTTTGATGCCTACCTAGCCCAGGTGTCTCCCAAGACCCTGCTCCATCCCATACCTCACCACCAACCCTGTCCTCCTGTTGTCCCATCCTGAAGCTGACCAGGAACACTCAGCAGGGGGACAAATCCTTGTCCTTTGCCATTCCAGGGGGACCCCTCTGTTGGAACCCTGGATGCTGAGAATTTTAAACTTTCTGTGCTGAAAGGCACAGACTTGCAAGAGAGCACTGCATTTGACCTGAGGCTGTGGAGAAGACTTCCAAAATTGATTGATAGCACTGGGATTACAGGTGTGTAGTTGGTTAGAAGTGTGTCATATCACAGGGTGGAAAACTTATGGTTTGGGGTTTTAGAATATAGAAATAAATATGAAGCAAGATGGAGGTTTTAGGGCGGAGGCAGGTTGTTCTTCTTTACCTTCTTCTTCTCTCTTCTTTACCTTCTTCCTTCTTCACCTTCTTTCTTCTTCTCCATGGGTTTGGGTGATGTTTTGTAATTGGACAGAAAAGTCTGCACTGTGAGCTCTTTGGGAACAGTTATTGGGTTAAAAGGGAAAATAATCTAGGTGTCATGTCTTAATTGGATAGTTTAGCCTTAAAAGACCTCGTAACAAGAGACTGTTAGCCATTTTGTGCCTTACTAATGAAAGGCTGCCGAACTCATGGCTGTGAGGCTGTTTCACTGATAAGAAACAACAAACACCTGAGTCCCGACATGAACTACAGTCTCAAGTGCCTTCAATCCCCACCTCGAGGGATTGATACCCCGACTGACGTCGAGAAACTGACACCCCAGAGCCAACTCACCAGCACACGATCCCCAAGCCTCAGGTCCTTCTCCCCTTTCTTCACCGACCCGCTGTCCGACAGGTTGGATCCGGACTCGTTGCCCGTTTTCATGGCGCTGTTGAGGACGCTCTCCCTCAGCGGGATCACGCGAGTGGACAGAGGCGGCGTGGCCGTCCCCGAGTGCAGTGACAAGTTCTGAGCCGTCAGGGAGTCCACGGAGGGGGCGTCGCTCCCGGAGCCCTCGGCCACCGGCTGCCGCGTCAGCTTGGACGGTCGCGTAAAAATCCCCTGCAGCGGCTGGCACTCGAAGTAGCGCACTCCTCCCACAGAGCCGTCATTCTTACCCACCGGGTCATCCAGAACAACCCCTGCCCACTGGCCTGGAGCAAACTGCGTTTCCCCAAGGTACTGGATCACTCCTGGCTTCACTCCATTCACCCAGACACGTTCGCCCACCACGAAGTCTCCCAGGAAATCATCGCCCACCTCGGCGACCTTCGAAGCCGACTTCTCGGCGCTGGTGGTGGATGTGGTACCCTGCTTGTGTAAAGGTGAGCCTGTGGATCAAGGAAAAAGAGGTTTTGGTATAAAGAGAAGTCCTAGAAGGAAGCCAAAACACCAGGAAATGGCATTTACAGAAGGAAAACATCTGGGACAGCAACTTAGATTGCAGGTGTACACCCTGTGAAGATTAAACCTGAGTGATGCCTTACTTACACACCTTCTTCAGTGTTAAATCTGCACAGATCCTCCATATGCTGCCCAGTTTCTGCAGGTCTCATGCAGAACATAAAAAAATGACCCCATGTTTTCATCCCCTTTACAATACCTCAGCCCCCTCACAGCCCCAGGGTGTGGATAAGCTCAAAAGCACAGGAGTGGTGATAAGTGCTTAAGGACCAAAGGGAGCCCAATGAACTGCTGCTTTGCAGGAAGAAGCCAAAGTCATCCTTTTACCCAAAAAAATAAATCAAAATATATATCTTTAGGGTGAAAAAAAGTGTGAGGCACTGATGTTTCAGTACTTGGCACTATGAGAACCCCATTGTGTCCCACTAACAGCTCCTGTGGGACCACACAGTGGCCTCCACAAATTCCCCATTTTTCCCAGCTGCTGCTCTGCCCTTTGCTGGAGTAAATGCAGCAGCAAGCAGACACCTGGGCAATGTTCAGTATAAACAGCATCTCTTTAAACAGGAAGCATCCCCAAAGCTTCATGTACAGCCTTGCAGGGTCACACAAATGTGCATGGAACTCAATAAACTGGCAATAAAGAGTGTCCTTTCTCCAGCATCAGCCTTCCAGCAATTCTCTGCTGTGTGGGAAGGAAAACTGCAGGTGATGCTGCTATTCAGTTCTGCTCACTCTCTCCAGCAGAATCTTGATTGGCCAAACTCTCCATAATACAAAAGGGGACCCTTAAATACATGGCAGGTGCCTGAATGGGAACAGACTCAACCCAAGCAAATGAGACAGCAGTGACCCAGCTCTTGCTGACCCCATTGTCAAACCCTCCTGTCATGAATTTTGGGCTTTCAGCCTGGGCCTCAGGCAACAAATGACAAGGACATGTGAATTCATTAACACTCTCTGAGGGTTAAAGGGGGAAGTTGAGTAAAGCTCTAAAAGAAACCACAAGAGAAACTGAGGAAATAAACTTGCAAAATAAGAGCCAGCAAGTCACATACCATGGACCTTCAGCCATCCTCAGCTCTCAACAGCCCTGAGGTCCCAGGTGTGGTTCTCCCACACAGCTGGAGTGTTTTAGGGGGTGTTTGCAGGAGGCTTGTGCCACATGTCCTGTGCTCAATGAAAGCTCCCTGGACTCTTCAGCCCAACTTTCAGCTGAAGTTTCTGGGTGCCACCAACCAGAAAACTCTAAAGCACAGCCAGGAAAAAAATTGTTATTTGCTACCAGAGAAGGCTGGCAGAGGACACCCTGAGCAGCTGCAGAGACAAGTAAAACTTGAGTGCTTATGTGTAATGAACTGTGAAACTCGTTCAGCCTCAGCCATCACTGTGGCTCAGTCTGCAACACTTCCACAGCTCTTTCACAAGTAATGGGCCTGACAGATCAGGCTCAGCTCCTAGAAAGAGTGAAAAACATAAAAGCTCTCAAAGCAAGATACGTCAAAGCTTTGCCAGAAGTCTAGGAAAGAGGGAAGAAAAGAACACCATGGCAATAGCAGGAAGAACTTAGTTTCTGCTAAATCATGTGTGTTACAAGGGATCCATTTTGACACTTGGGTTTTTATTAGACTCCAGAGTCAACACTTGACAAGTTTCTATGGCCCCAGTTTGGGGCCCCTGGAAGCAGTACCTCTGCCTGGTCTGAGCCTTGCCTGAAGAAGAAGAGAGCAGCAATTAAGGTGTGACTGCACAAACTCCTCTCACAAACAGGAGTATCTCCAAGCAGCTCACTGGGCTCAGCAGGCTGGGGCTGGAACAGCTCTTGAGAAGAGGAGCCAAAAGGGACATGCACAGCACAACACATGGGGAACGTTCAGGAACATCCCATGATGGGCACAGGAAGGACAGTAAATACTGTCCCCAGCTGTGTGAACACTGCTCCCAGCTGAAAATGTGGCAACAGAGACCATAGAGCTCCCAGCAGAGCTCAGCCAGCTCCCAGGGAGAGCATTCTCCTGGCTTCTGGACCCTGCCTTGGAAGTTCCCTCAACCTTATGGGTTTATCAAGAAGTTTTGGGGGCTTTTGGGCAAGTTTCTGGCATTTAAGCTTGTGTCACTCTCAATTTTGTAGGACAGTACACCAAGATGAGCTCCATCAGATGGACAGCATTACATCCAAGAACCAATTTCACCTTAAAAAAATTAAACCCAAAGACTATAAGGATGCTTAGAGCTTTTGATCCTTACAAAAGAGGGCTTTTAAATAAAAAGAAGTGTGAAGGAAAGACAGCATTACATCCAAGAACCAATTTCACCTTAAAAAAATTAAACCCAAAGACTATAAGGATGCTTAGAGCTTTTGATCCTTACATAAGACTTTAAATAAAAAGAAGTGTGAAGGAAACAGGGCTCCATCCATCTGAACTATAAAACCAATCATAGGCAGAAAATAAGGGCACTATTGTAATTTCAATGCTTAATAGCACAAGACAGTAAAGCAGCCAGATTAGCAAGTTACATTTTAAGAAGGCTCTAAGTTAAATAACCAATTAATTAATTAATTAACAAATTATATTAATTTTTAACCTGGCTACAGGAGTTTATCACCAACAAGGTCTGTGATGGGTAGGAGAATAAATTAAATTAGAAACACAATTTACACCTTGGTTTTGTGCTTGGCAGAGCACCCTAACACACAAAGATCATGCCACTGACATGTCTGTGCACGTATATCTGTGCCAAGGACAGCCAAACTCAACCTACTGTACAGGGAACTATAAGCACATAAAATCTGGCGGGCTTTGTTACTACACTGAGAAGAGAAAACTTTTTTTACACTTACTGAGCCCAAGTTTCAGCCCAACAGTTCTTGATTTCAGGTGTTAGTTAATGGTCAAGATACAGGCCCCATTAACTCTCACAAGCACCTCTGCAATGTGGCTGGGATAATCAAACCCTTCAGCAGCAAAGATCAAGCAAAGAAAGGCAGGAAGGCTGCCCAAGGCTGAACAAACAATGCAGCAGGGTTTCAATTGCATTTACACTCACTGTATTTTACTGCAAGAGCAAACACCTTCAAAACTGACTTGGACCAGCAAAAAAATAAAGAACAGTTCACTGGATTCCTGGTGGAACACTGTCCTCCCCCAAAAGCCAAAATTTCAGTGGAACTTTACACACTCTTGTTCATTTTAGGTGCCTGTCTGATAAGCAGGTATGCTGAACTACAGTAATTACATCTCAGGGAAACAATCTCATCCCAGGCTCCTGAGCAGTGCAGGCAGAAATATCATTATTCTTGAGCATGAGGTGAATTATTCAAAAGTACAGGATGTAAATAAGGAACTGCCTGAAGGTTCACCTTGTTTATTATGGCCACAGTGTAGAAACTTGTGTTTTACATGGCTTTCATTACCCACATATGAAATAATAACCACAGAGCAGCTAATGGGCTTTGGTGCAGCAGGTTTTCAGAGAAGCCAAGAGTAACCATGATCAAGCTGAATTCATTTCTCTTGGCTTTTACTAACCCACTAGCTAGATGGCCAGACAGCATCCCAAGTAGTCCAAGCAGACTAAGCCCTGATCCTCCCAGGGAGGTGTCTGGTCACCAGCCTTCCAGAGGCAAATGGTGGCAGTGAGTAACTTGACTTCAATCCCACGAGTACCTCAGGATAGCCCAAAAGTGAGAGCAGCTGGTGGCACTTCTCCCAGAGACCTGACATTGGCATTGCCACTCTCCAGGTACCTCTTACAGCTGAAGGGAAAGCCACCCAAGAGGACTGCCATGAAAGAGTCCTGAGCTTTTCCAGCCTACAGGCACCTCAAGAGTTGGCCTATTGGTGTGTGCCACTTGGATTTGCTGTTTTGAAGAAGAAAAGTCTTCCTGTTCTAGGCAGACTCCCCAGATAAATGCCAAGTTCCAAAAAATTCACTAAGAAAAAAGTTCCAAGAAACAGCAAACCAAGGATACAGATCTCAGGTATGAAACTGAGAAGAGTTACACAAGAGAAACCCACCCAACAAAACACACTGGGTTCTTTCTGCTCCAACCCTGCCAGTACCTGCTGATGCCAACCAAGAAGCCACAGGAACTCTCTGAAGTCACTACTGGGTCTCCAACTCAGCAGCCCACCTGGAAGCCAGCGATGAGGAAGGCTCTTCCTGCTGGATCCAAGAGGATCTCCCTGTGCTGCTCTGTCCAGAACTGACCTCATCTGCTAGTCAGGACTGCCACAGCAGCAGCTGCCTCCTCCTCTCGCGGGGACCAGGCTCCAAGACACAACAAGCAGTGAGCAGGATCTCCTCCACTCAGGCTCTCCAACTTTACAGCCCTATTGTGTTCATTAGCTGGCTCATTCTTTTCGGATTAAACGGGCTTCCTGTAGGTCACAGCTTCCAGGGCTGAGCAACAGCTTGTAAACCAGAGTCACACAGAGCATCCACTGCATGCACATCTTACCCAGCTCCCAATCTCTGCCTTCCCTTTGCCCTTCACAAAGCCTACACACCAGCCACAACTACAGCACACCTGGTGCTTCGTGCAAACTCATCCCACCAGTTTTAGGGACCCACACTGACAGGGCACCAGTACTTCAGGAGCCAAATTCCTACCAGCCAAGAGCCGGAGAGGTTAAAAGTTTAACTAAAGTCCCAGGCTGTTGACAGGGCTCTTGCTACCGTGTCAATGAAAGCCATGTGTCCAAAGTCCCTTGAAGCACAAGGGCTTCTGCAGAAAGGGCATGGATTCTTCCAGCTCCTGGAAGCTGCTGTAGGAAGGAGTGAACAGAAGCTTTGCATAGTACAGAAGCAAGAAACCCCCCCTCAAGAAAGCTCTGGAAGCTGAAGTGGGAGAAGAGAGCACTTGCTCAGCAGCACCAGCAGGAGCAGCTCTCCCTGCAGGATCCCTGACATTATGCTCAGCCTC